CCCTGTAGCAGTAGGTATCCTTCGGAGTGATGAAGAAGGTTTTCTCCTGGTATGGAGGGAACATGTTGATCTGGTTGTACCTGGAGTAAGCATCCAAAAATACAGGAGATCGATGCATCGGAGAGGATAGTTTTCATTGGGACATACTTTATTGACCTCCATGAAGTCCACATAAAGGCGCTACTTCCCATTGGCCTTTGTAACCATCACTATGTTAGATAGCCAGTATGGGTAAGCTACCTCCCATACTAACCCATTTTTTAGTAGTTTCTCCACTTATTTTTCCATGGTTTGGCCTTTCACAGTACGTCCATTCCTCAGCTTTTGGTCGACGAGTTTGTACTTGGGATTGATGTTGAGTTAGTGGGAGGCCACTTCAGGAAGTGAGTTCCCATTGGGCTTGACTCAATTGGATTTGGGCTTGTCACATTAAATTGAAGCAAATAAACATCAAATTAACACTAACTTTTGGTAAGTCAACACTAAAGATTTGAAACCATTCGACAAAATCGATGTAACATTTGCTCGTGCCTAGGAGGAAAGGAGATGAAAAATACATGTGGCGGTGGAGCATTCATTGTGGCATGTAGAATGCGTATGCGTGTGTGAGAGAGAGAGAGAAAGAGAGAAAGAGGTGAAGAGGTGCAACTGAAAAGATAGAGGTCTAGATGAGGGAGAGTGAGAAAGATGGAGATGAATGAGGGAGAGGATTCAAGAGTTCTACATCAAATAGGAGTCCTAAAATTTGGGGGGGGGGATTTCAAGCATCAATTTGGATTGTTGGGTTAATAATCTTGAAACAATCTATAATGCAAAAAGCTCAAGACAAATTAAGGATTTGAAATCCCTTATCCTTATTATATAGATGGTTTTAATTTAACTGGTGAGACCAATCAACTAAAGAAATGATGATTGAACATGAGGACATTAATAAAAAATTGGAAGTGCGGCCGGCCAAATTGATGCAAGAAGCGGCTAGAAGGAACCAAAGAGGATAATGAACTAAATTGTTGATTTATGCACATATACCGATTTAGAATCAGGATTTAGGCCTATAGATTCTATAAAATACCAATCCTAAAAGTTTCAATTGATATGTTTATTCCTAAAAATACTCGAAGAATTGGGAATAAACTGATGAGTCCAAAGACTTACAAGAGTATAAATAGTGCAACAAACCCTAAAACCAGCTAGGAAATCATAAAACGTGACATATATGCCTATAATTTCATTAGTAAGAAAATGTGTTCAATGTCTATTATGTTTGGAAGTAAAGTATTAGAGCTGTCTTCTAATCATATTTTAGGCTTTCTTTTTTTCTTTTTCCTTTTCAAGTTTGTTCTCCCTCTTCCCTTTCTCACCACAAGTAGCTCTTTTATAAATAACAAATGCCAAGGTGGAAGCAATCAAACTGATGTGTTAATTATGTAATTAGAACATTAATTTTGATAAAAAAAAAAAGAAACTTTCAAACTAATTATACGACTAAAAATTACTAATTACTCAAACTAAAGTAGAACTAATGGCAACCAATTCTGACTTAAGAAGTTATCGCACCCTTGCCAAGGATGCACTAAGTTCATTTTCCCTCACCATTTTTTATTGGATATGGATGCTTTGAAACTCATGTATGTGGAAGTGAGTTCGAAAAAGTCAATCCATTTGATCAGCCCCGCCTGCCTCTATATTGATCACAACGATTCAAATACTATTATGTGATCCGATCTGTATCACAAAACCATGCAGTGTCCCAAGGCTTGTGTCAACAGATGGACATGCTATTTAATTTGATGGGTTTTTTCCTTGAGTGTATCACTTAGTTTAAACATGATTGGCCACTAATTCATTATTTAATTGTTTATTTTTATATAGAGGTCATAATATGAAGAAGAAAATAAATTATAGGATTAATTTTACTTTGCCCTCAAAAAGATACTGCAACGCCCCGATTTTCGGATGCATTAATCAATTCATACATTGCACAAATATATCTCTGAATATACAATTATAGCTCTAATTATGTCAATAAAAATTGTAATTGATAATCAACCCTCCAATTATAAGTACATCTTGAAATTTACATAATACAAAATTTATATCATATCTAACTTCTCAAATATTCTAATCATGAACTCTGCTCTAGAATCCTCCTAAAAGATTAATTAAGAAGGGAAGTATACAATACGATATGAAATAATATACGCAATGATAAAAATACTAATGTAATTCAATCGATAGGTAATTATGAAATTATGAATCAAATACCATATATCACAACATACATTGCCTCATACTTAATTGATCATGGTAGCATGACAAGTAACACTTGAGCATAAATTCGAACCCGTGCCAATCAATCACATCCCGCATGACCATAATCACACCCTGTAAGGCCACAATCACAACTCGTAGGGCTCCCAAGTGCACTTTGTATGTGTACCAATCAGTCTCAAAATAATTAACTCAAAACACAGCTAACTCAAATTCATATCAATCAACAAATAATAAAATAAGAATACAATTTTAAAATAATCAATAGAATACTTTTTACAAAGAGATTTAAAAGACAAAAACATATTGTATACTACCCCATATCTAAAATCTTTAATTGACTCTGATAGATATTGTCATCATAACCTCAAGAACAATATACTAAACTTTTAGCTTGATTAGAGTTTGTTTCATCGATAAATTTTTACGGATTTCTCCTTCTCTCTCCTCTTTCATACTTTCCTCTTCTTCCTCTCATTTCCCTTTTTCTATGTTCCCCTCTTTTTTTCTCGATTGCCTTACTTTCTCTTCTCTCTCTTCCATCTTCTTTTCCTACTTTGTGTCCTACGGTTTTACAGAGGGATAGAGCTGAATTTATAGGCAAAGGCAAGGACAAGATGACACCTTAAATGTGTTGCTCTTACCTAGATCAAGACTTGTCGCGCATGCATGCCACCTAATACACATCCGTCTAATGTTTTATTGTGCATGATACATGTTACTTCTAGATTATACTACTACTGTGTCGTGCTTGTCACATGTCATCGCCATATTCTCCCACTATTTTGCCATGCTTGCCACGTGTCACCTCCACATTCATACACACACAAATACCATTTTTTAGCATCACTTATTTTTTTTTTCTAACATAAAACATATCCAATATTATAATCATCGGATTGCCTATACACAAGGTATTTATTTATGTATATGAAATCTCTAAAAAATAAATCATATTGACCAGATTAAAATTTTAATATTTTTTAAAATATTAACTCTTATTTTATAAAAATTCATAATGTTACAGATACTGGGCGTACCCAAAAGAGAATCTAGTACTTTTTGATTGTGAATATCTAAACTGGTTGTTCATTATTCAAGAATTCGGGGGAATAAGGGAATTGACTGAATTAACTCGTTTTTTTAATAGACGAATAGTTGATGGAATTATAAATGAAATTTGTGTTATGAGTTTTTTTGTTGGAGAAAATATCAAATCTATAAAGGCCGGCGCATCTCACCTTATCTTTTCTTAAGTTGATAAAATTTAGATGTCAAATTATACTCTCAAGAGCATAAGAAAGTTGCAAAGTGACTGTCATTCATTTTTTTGGCGTAGAACATATCTTATAGTCATATTTGTGCCACTTTTTATGACGGAAAGGTAAACAATGGTTGGCTTTGGGTCACATCACCGCTTAAGACATTGACGCCGCAATTGAGAATTAAAATATTTTAGCGTGCATATTAAGAATTCAAACATTTAAAGTTCGAAGAATGAATAATCATAAAAAAGCATTTCCGCATGAGTAGCATAACAAAGAAAGGTGTCTTCATACTGCTTTCGTCTCTATCCACTTAAGTGTTTTTCCTGTCATAACCACGTGTTTTCCAGAGGGGAAGATCACTAACCTAACGGAATCATTCCTTTCAATATTTTTCTGGTTTTAAGTGTCACGCCAACACCTAAGTCAACTATTTTAGAGACCCTACTGAAGAAAGAAGTCTTGCTTCATGGTTTGTCAATCCCATGGGAGAATATCAGGATATTGAGTTATAATTCGGATATCAATCATCTTATTGTTTCCAAACAACAAAAATGTTGTTGATGATATGTCAGATATTCGGAATAGTATAATTTAGGCTGAAGTGTTCACTCATAATCATAGATACTTTAGACTATAAATTAATTAGTTGACATAGTTTAAAATCTAAACAATCTAAGGCTATTCACATATGGGATAGTTTTTTTTTGTATGATGTATGCTACAAAGCTCGATTAAGGTGTTTATATGATCAAATTTGAGTTTTAGTGTGCCTTCACAATGGGAAATTAATGAATGTTGAGGTATATGTAGGAGATGAAACTCTAAAATGCTTCGTTTGAATCTCATTCAAAGAGGGTTCAAGTGTAAAAGTATTATGGATCTGAGTTTGGGATTTCACCATGTCTCATTTAAACAATATTTAAAGTACATCCGTTTAAGTTAATTTAAGACGTTCTGAAAGTAAAATTTGGTTTTATTAAAAGATTAGCTGTTTTTGTTAAGCATCATAATTCTTTCAATTTTAAATTACTCTTCTTGTAAATTGCCAAATATCTAATAGAATATAATGAATTTCACTTGTATAATTAAAAATAATTTAAATTAAAATTTTTGAAAGAATCTAACCCGAAATGGATTGGATCGAATGTTCACATGGGAGCCTTATCATTTGACATTATCGGGAAACGGGAGTCAACGGGGGCAGCTAGCCCGGTCGATAGATGCGGTGCTGAGGTCGCACTTCTCTTAATGAGTCTGTCCATTCGAGCAGTCTGTCGGAGTGTTAAAATACATTTGCTATTAGGTTTCTTTTACAGACGTCATTAGTACCAGATCAGCTATAGACAAAAAAAACACAACAACTTTACCGTTCAATATTGTTTTTTCTTCTGTATTTGGCAAAGATAAAAAGAACACTGCATTTCCTTCGTTCTGTCACACACACAAGAGAGAGAGAGAGAGATGGAAAATTCCGGCGAGCAATTCGATGTAATTATCATTGGAGCAGGCATCATGGGCAGCTCCACAGCTTACGAAACCTCCAAAAGGGGTCACAAGACCCTCCTTCTTGAGCAATTCGATTTCTTGCACCACCGTGGCTCCTCCCACGGTGAGTCACGAACTCTACGCGCTACCTACTCCGAAGACTATTACTCATGCATGGTCATTGAATCATCACATCTTTGGGAAGAAGCCGAATCCGAAATTGGCAACAAAGTCTACTTCAAGACCCCCCAATTCACCATGGGTCTTTCCGACGACAAGAGCCTACGAGCGGTCATCGCCAGCTGCCGTAAAAACTCGATACCCCACCGGGTACTCGACCACCGCCAAGTTCATGAAGAATTCTCCGGTAGGATACAACTGGCGGAGAATTGGGTCGGTGTGTTAAGCGACCTTGGTGGTGTAATTAAGCCCACAAAAGCAGTGTCCATGTTTCAAACACTAGCACTGAAAAATGGTGCTGTACTTAGAGACAACAGTGAAGTGTTTGACATTAAAAAAGATGACGTGAGAGGTGGTGTTTTCGTGTGTACTAGGAATGGTGAAAGTTTTTGGGGAAGAAAATGTGTTGTGACAGTTGGGGCTTGGATGAAAAAGTTAGTTAAAACAGTTACAGGCCTAGTACTACCCATACAACCATTGGAAATCTGTGTTTGTTACTGGAAAATCAAGCAAGGGCACGAGGAGGAATTCACAATCCAAGGAGGTTTTCCGACGTTTGCAAGCTACGGTGAGCCTTACATATACGGAACGCCATCAATGGAGTTCCCGGGATTGATCAAGATTCTAGTGCACGGTGGCCAACAGTGTGAGCCGGACAAGAGGACATGGTCACCGGCGCCAATGATATTGGATTCACTGAGACAATGGATTCAGGAAAGATTCGGGGACCGAGTTGACTCGACCGGACCAGTGATGACTCAATCTTGCTTGTATTCGATGACACCAGATGAAGATTTTGTGATTGATTTTTGGGTGGTGAGTTTGGGAAGGATGTGGTGGTTGCAGGAGGGTTTTCAGGACATGGATTCAAGATGGCACCAGTAGTGGGAAGAGTATTGGCAGATCTTGTGGATAATGGGGAAGCAAAAGGTTTGAAGCTGAAACAATTTAGGTTAGGGAGGTTTGAGGAAAAAGGTGACGGGAATGTGAAAGAATTTGAAGATCAGGTTACCTTAGCTGATTTCCCAAGTCCAAGTGATTGAGAAAAATCTATTCTCTATTTGTCTGTGATGAAAACATTGATGAATTTGTGGCCATTGGTTTGTTACCTTCCTTTTGTGAATTTTTGTGTTGGTATATGTTATCCTCATTTTGGTAGAAGTGGTTGGTGCAGGTAGTCTCACACTCCAACACCCCCTTCCCCCGCCCCTCTCCAAAAAAAAAAAAAAAAGCATTGGTTTGTTATCTTCATTTTGTGAATTTCTGCATTGCTATATGTTATCTTCATTTTGGTTGAAGTGATGCATGCACTCTCTCTCTCCACCCATGTGTGCAATGTTTAATTTACAGCATATTTGAAGCGGCTTTTTGATTTTTCCAAGGAACAAAAATTGAGGATTGCTGCTTCTAATTTTGAATAACAAAAACACAGTATTTTCCAAAATATTTTTCATAATTTACATGTCAAATCAATTTGAACGACTAAATCAGTAAGATATATTAAAAATTAATAAACTCCTTTCATTCAATAGATCATACTTTAATTTGGGCTACAAATTTGAATAATATTTAAAGATACACAGAAGTACGGTGCTGGTCATCATTTTTTTTCTTTTTTATGTTTTTTGATCCAGTGGTCATCCAGTTGATGGACCAAAATTTTGGCTTGGCAAATTGTGCCCATGCCACCTTGGCCACTCCACAGACCCCCTTTCGGCTTTCATGTTTGTCTTCGAAATATACAATTCACTTTTTTCCACCCAAACACAAGAACATCAGGACCAAAGTTTTGAAAAATGCTCGTTACGTAAAGTAATGGCCATTACATAACGGAATCACATGGCATCGATACTGTTACGGGCCGATATAACGGGGAGAAAAAATTCACGTTTGTAAAAGCCGTTACCGAATCGTAATAATGGAATCACATGGCATCGATATTGTTACGGGCCGATATAATGGGAGAAAAAAATTCACGTTTGTAACGGCCGTTACCGAATCGTAATAGTTCTGTAACGATCATTATTGAATCATAACGGGTCACCCCGTGATAGCTTTGCTCAGTTTTTTTTAATTTTTCTGAAAAGTTGTGAGAATTTTCTGAAAAAAAAAAAACCCAAATTGCAAGTCATGCTAAGATAAAGACTACAATCTTCAATCAAATCAATTTGTTTGATAAGAAAAACGTGACAAAATATCAAAAATCGATGAAACTCATCAATCAATAACGATATCACTCTCTTGTCGGTAGCAGCACTAATTTCTCCACCCTCATTTTGTTGACGAAAAACCACTGTTGAAGATTGTTACGATCTTAGGGAAGAAAAATCTCGCTAATGCTCCACAGTTCCTTCTTCCCTATATGGATCAACAAAAGCTTAGTGGAGCAAACAATGGTAGAAGGCGAGAGACAGAAGATGCATAATACAAAAGTTTTTCACTTTTGCAAAACCGCTACAAAACCTTCTGGTTTTGGTTACGGTTCCAAAAAAAAAAATAAAAAGATGAGGGTTTTGATTGTGGAATGATAAGGATGCCACCTGTAACTTACCTATACACGTGTTGTATTTGTATAGAATGAAACTGTTGCTCCAGAATTGTTTTGCAAAAAATAAGTGGGTCGGGACCTTGGTTAATTGGAAAATGGGTCTAGGCTGGTCCATTGGATTAAAACATTTTTTATTTTTTTTATTGTTTTTCTATTTATTTTTTCTTCCCTCTTGGCTTAAAATCAGTAGAAAAATAAATTGTAAACCACTAAAAACCTATATATAAATATTTTTGAAGTTCGAAACATGTATAACTTCATTTTAGGTAGAATTGTGAATAGAAAATTAAAATGCACGATCCCAATATCTATTACTGTTATATAACGCCCGTTGCAGCCTTCATCTATTAAAATGCTACCGTTAATATTACAATAATCATTACCGTTATTCAAAATCATGATCAGGACATCAACGAGGCAGCAGCATTTT